ATGGATGGATGGATGGATGGATAGATGAATAAATGAATGGATGAATGGATGGATGGATGGGTGGATGAATGGATAATGGATGAATGGATGGATGGATGATGGATGATGGATAATGGCTGATGGCTGATGGATAATGGATGATGGATAAATAAATGATGGATGAGTGCTGGATGCCTAAGGGGGTTGCTGTGTACCTAGTGCCATGCTACCTGGCATGGAAACCCTGTTGAGTAAAGAAATAGGCAACCACACGGGAAGCACATGATTCAGGGCGTTACACAGCAGGCAATGGCTCTGTGGCATGGCAGACACACCGCGCCCATTTCCATAGCCATTGGCCTCAGTGCCAGGCACATGCGTGGGCAGGCAGCCTGGCACTGAAGGGCACGTGGCCAGGCCTGATGCCAGCCTCACCCGCCTCACGTCCCAGCCTCGGTTTCCTCCCAGATCAATGGGATGATCTGTCAGGAGCACAGGGTCAGGTTATGCAGGAGGACAGTTTTGGGGGAGAGGCCCCCTCCTTCCCTTCAGAGGGAGCAGCACGGGCCAGGAAGGGGCCCTCCCTGGCTCGCCGTCCACTGTGCACTCCTGGGGACACCCTGTAATGTCCATTCACCCCTCAAACCTCCCAGGAAATGCACGTTTCCCGCCGAGAGGGGGATTCCACACAGGCAGGCGCTTACCTGTTCGGACGTCATGGTTGATGCCTTCGACGGAGATGATGGCGTCCGGGATGCCTTTTCCGTGGGAATCCGTCACCAGGCCTTTGATGCCGCGGTGCACCTGCTCGGCAAACACGACAAGACGCGGTGAGCTCACCGACACCCCCCTCCCCCACCGTGGCACGGTGAGCACGATGACCCTCAGGCTGCCCGGGCCACCAGGAGCCCTCACGCAGCCACGCCCAGCTCAAGAGCTCCCTGGCGCCGTGTGGGCCTGGAGTGTAAGCGTCTTTGATTACGGGGCTTGCGATGAGGAGCTTGCGAGGCAGCGTCTCAGAGTCTCCCATTGGAGTGAAATCTTCCAGACGTTTAAACGTGTTAGGGTTTGAGGGGGTCATAAGAAGAAACCCACTAGCCCGGGCGGTGTGGCTCAGTGGCTGAGCGTGGGCACATGTAACAAAGGTTGTCAGTTCGATTCCTGCTCAGGGCACATGCCGGGTTTCAGGCTTGATCCCCAGCAGGGGATGTGCAGAACGCAGCCAATTGATGTTTCCATCTCTCTCTCCTTCTCCCTTCCTCTCTCTCTAAAATCAATAAAGAACATTTATCTTTTAAAAATCCACTAAAGATGGAATTTTGATACGCACATATTTTAATTTTCCTGAGCTCTGTAGACTTAGTATATAGAGCTCCTTCCGCACTGGAGTGGCCAACTGGGACCACGGCCACCAGGGACCACGGTGACCTGGGACCACGGCCACCAGGGACCACGAAGACCCGGGACCACGGCGACCAGGGACCATGGCCACGGTCCAAAGCACTAATTTGGTCTCACTTTCAGCCTCGTTCCTTAGCCACCCCCGCGGCAGCGCGGCCCACGCTGTACCTGCTCCATGAACACGATCAGGGACTCCCGGTTGTTCTCCCACTCCTCGGGCAGCTCGCTCTCGTGCGGGAACTTGTCGCAGCCCACGTAGATGGACAGCTCGAAGCAGTTCGTGTGGAGGTAGCTGAAGTCGTTGAGACCTGCCAAGCCAACCGCAGACAGGAAGCTGAGCCAGGCGCAGCGGGGCGCCGGACACAGCAGGGACGTGCCTGAGGGGCGGCACGTGAACGGGGTGTCGGGCAGCTACTGAGACAAAACATTCATTAGAGCAAGTGCGGGGGAGGGGCTGGGGGGAGGGAGGGGAGGACGCCGAGGAAGGGCTTGTGGGGAGACCGGCCCCTGAGAGCGCAGGGTACTGTGGTGTGACCCCGACAGCCCTTCCCGTGCCATCAGCCCTGGCGGGGACGGCGATACACGGCTCTGGGCCTGGAACCCCACTACTGTCAGAACTTCAACATGGACCCGGAGCTGCCTTCGCGGTGGGAGGGTGCGGAGCAGAGCTGGCCGACACCGCCCTGGGGGGAACGCACAGGCGGTGCATTTGGAGATGCACAGGCCGCTCTCTGCTCAGCACTGCTAACGAGCCAGCGCCCTGAGCAGGAAGAGGCGAGGAGGCGGAGGGGGAGGCAGGGAACTTAGAAATCGCATCTCATTAACCCACCGAGAATGACTCTGCAGGCCTGTCAGTCACACTGCCGGGCGGGAGGCGGGGGTGATTACAGAGGCTCGAGCCCCCGCAAGGCTCTGCCGCCAAGTCCCTGAAATAATGGGAACCGTAACTGATGGAAAAAATCAGCCCCCGCAGCCGGTGAGGACGTGTGGCAGGCGGCTGCTCCGAGCGCTGCTGCTGACGCCACGGAAGGAATGGGGCACTGACAGGCCCCCCGCCCCCTCCCCCGTCGGGACAGCACAGCACGCTCTCGCCCTTCGCAGGGCTCGCTCAAAAACAGTCTTCAGTGTGAGAAATGGCTCACCTGTCCAAATTTCAAATGACGGACTGGGAAACAGAAGCATGGTGAAATGGGACTCTTAATAACACTCGAGAGTGGACGCCCATGGGACAGGATCACAGGTAGGGCAGGGGACACAGCCTGTTTATTTAGCCCCCCCCCCCAGCCCCTCGTTGGCTGAGGACTATTTGGTCACCTGTTTCCTAATAGGTCTCCGAGGTCTTGCTGTCTCCCATTGGGTATTTAAAAAAATGGGCTGGCCCGGCCAGCGTGGCTCAGTGGTTGAGCGTCGACCTATGAACCAGGAGGTCATGGTTTGATTCCTGGTCGGGGTACATGCCCAGGTTGTGGGCTTGATGCCCAGAAGGCAGGGTGTGGGAGGCAGCTGATCAATGATTCTCTCTCATCATTGCTGTTTCTTTCTCTCCCTCTCCCTTATTCTCTGAAATCAATAAAACACACACACAAACAGTATGCCTTGCGTTTTATTGACATTTTTCTTTTAACCCTCAGCCCCAAAGCCTAAACTGTGGTATGGTTCTGCTCTTACTCTTCCACAAAATACCAACTTCTGCGCATGGGCCACGAAGTTTCAATCGCACTGTACGTGCACGCCCACACGTGGTATTTTCTGGAAGAGCCACACTCAAGGGGCCAAAGAGCCGCATGTGGCTCGCGAGCCACGGTTTGCCGACCACGGGTCTAGGGGAATCCTCCTAGGACATGTGCTGTCGGCCACCTGTACAGCTCATACCCTCTCCCACCCCCACCCTGTTTGCTGAGGGAATTCAGTAATGGCCTGGCCAATGCTGTTTCTTTGCTATGAAGATAAATCAGAGGCATGTTTCTTACATTAATGGTTGCTGAGAGGAAGGGAGAGGGAGGGAGAGAGAGAAACATCAATGATGAGAGAGAGCCACGGATCGCTGCCTCCCGCACGCCCCCCACTGGGGATCAAGCCTGTAGCCCCGGCCTGTACCCTGACTGGGAATCGAACCGTGACCTCGGTCCATGAGTCACTGAGCCACGCCGGCCGGGCTGGGTTTGCTCTTGGGGCCAATATTTCCCCAAGTCTCCCCCGACCATCTCTGACCCCACACAATGGAGACACTCGGTGGCTGAGAGCAGACCACGGAGTCCAACAGCCCCAGTTCCGCCCCTTCCCGTGTCCGAGCCCCAGCTCTCTCATCAGCTTCTCCACCTCACCCTTTTGCACTTCACGTTCATGCTTTGCAACAGGGTGGGTTTGAAGTGGAGAACCTGTGAAATGGGAGCGAGCCCCGCCGCTCCGAGACTGGGACGCCGCAGAGCTGGGACCTGGACCTCGGGAGCTGTAGTGTCAGGGCAGCGGCACTGCGGACAGGGCGGGAGGGCCGGGAGGTGCCCATCACGTCGCCGGGAGGACTCACTTCCGGCCACGGTGTGCCCAGCGGAACACGTGGTCGTCGGGCGTGGGCGTGCGCTCCTGCGTCTTCCAGGGGGACCGGGCCATGTCGTAGGGGTAGGCCACCACCAGCTCGCCGCCCTGCAGGTTGCCGCCCAGCACGAAGGGGACCTTCTCCATCCAGGCGATGACAGCCCTGGTCTCCGCCGCCACCTGCGAGCACCGACGCCGGGGGCCACGTGAGAAGGAGGCCCGCTCCCCGACACCCCAAACAGGGACTCGGTGGGAAAGCAGCCGTTGTATGGAGACTCTGAGCCCGGCTTAGAATTTCTAAATCCGTCCTGAAAACACTGGATTTCGTAGAAATAATGGATTTAAAAAAGAGAAACCTGCCTGGCCATGTGGCTCAGTGGTTGAGCATCAACCTATGAACCAGGAGGTCAGGGTTCGATTCCTGGTCAGGGCACAGGCCCGGGTTGTGGGCTCCATCCCCAGTGTGGGGTGTGCAGGAGGCAGCCGGTCCATGATTCTCTCTCATCATTGATGCTTCTATCTCTCTCCTTCTCCCTTCCTCTCTGACATCAATAAAAATGTTAAAAAAATAAATAAATGAGACTTAAGAGGTCGTAAACCAATCTAAATGAATGCACTTTGTTTGGGTCCTGATTTAAACAAGATGAGAGAGAGAGTGATAATAGTGAAAAGTGAAGATGGCTGGACATTTTATAACATTAAGGAACCCTTTATTTTTAGGTGATAATGGCAATGGATTCCTGTCTGAAACAGGAGTCCCGTCTTGCAGATACAACTGTTCACACAGGAGACGCTGCCGTGCCTTTGGGCCCATGGTCCTGCCCGGCTTTAATGCGCACGCCCCCAGGGGGCTGTACAGCTGAGGGCCAGGCTCAGTGGCAGCCGCAGAAAAGAACAAATAACGGGGGCGTGTTTTTTCCTGTTGTGTTTCTTCTGTGTTCTTGTAAAGAAATATAATTAAATGATTTTTATAAAGAATCTCCTCAAATATCCATTTGAAAGGTGTTTTATTATCTAGCTCTTCCTACTCTGAGAGAAAATGTGTAAGAGAAGGCTCTGTCTCCTTCTTAAATGTCACATCCTCTGCCCATGCGCTGGGTGTTCCTGCGGCCCCCCACACCCCAGCACC